CCATAAAACCCTGTCAGAAATGAGCGGAGGCCTGTGCTCAACAGTGGGACGTTATAATATAGGCTGTAACTTTAAGGGTAAAACGAAAAGAGTATAAAAGAAACCATATCTGCTTAATTGAATCTGAAAATCTGATTCATAAAATATTTTAAAATTCTGTTTTCAAACCAATTACTTCTGGAGCATAGAGTTTTTATCGTGGTAGCCCCTAATTACAGTAGTACCAATGATGCAACATAAATGCATCGATCGAGCCTTGATTGACCAGAAAGGGAGCTAATTCTAATTTTATTTAAAAAAAACGCGGTACTCATGTACAATACAGAAATTTTTGATATCGTAGGGTTAATATTAAAATGTAAAAGGACGCAATAATAAATCAAGTCGACCTTTAGATAAAATTATGGTATTTTCACTTAGTATTATTACGATCCTATGTACTACAAACTATGAAATAATGGTACAATTAGGATAATTATACTACGAAATCCAACCCTGGTTACGTCGTGTTTTGATATAACGATCGTATTATGACACATGCGCTACTTTTTCTTTTATGAAAAAGTTATGAGTAAAATATTTAGATGGGACTATCCTTCCTTTTGAAATCATTGGCTTTAGCACAGCCCACCTGTCCCTGAAAATTTGTAGAATTTATATCCGCTCTGCAATCGGTAAGTAGTATCTGTGAAGTAATTTTTTAATTTTGACACAAATAAACAGATATTATTTGTGCGCGGATGTGTTAGTGGTTTAGCATCTGATGGGAAAAATAGACTGAAAATGACTTTTATTGAGGTAACTTAGCGATTGCAGCGCTTCACTTATTTTGTCCATATTTCTGGAACACTATTTTCAGCGATCGTTCTCCTTCTCTCTAACCTCCATGATATGTATTGAAATTATAATATACGTTAGTACTCTTATTAGTTTGTGATAATGCTGTGTTATCATGTGTTATGATGTTGGTGCGTCACATTGCGAAGTTTTTGAGAAATTTAACAACAATCGGTGACGAACGTACTTCAAGTTTCTAAGCCACTTAAGCAGACAAAATAACTTGAGGCATCAGAGCACTTGTTCGTTTGTGTGTTCCCTTCACTTCTGTGTCATATGATCACAGAAGACATTTAATCTCTACCGAGAAGAATACCCTCTCCAAACTAAAAGAAATGAAATACGCGTCTATATGTATATACTTCCAGCGCCGCAATGGATGCCCATATTAAACTTTTTCGCAGGAATTCTAAACCTTTGTAATCTGCCTGGGCCTGGTGATCTATAACACAGGGATTACCCTAGTATTGACACCAGTCTCTCACAAAGGTCAAAATTATCTACAACCGTATTATTTAAGAAATAATGTGAAATTATATACCTTTGTGAAGAGAAAATAAAAATAATTTATTATTATTATACATTTTGGTGTAACTCAACCATAGTATTGGGTTGGCCCTTTACTCCAGCTAACCAATTAAAACCTTTTGTTAGAAATAGAGTCAACGAGACACAGGGGAGCACTTGCGATCATACCTGGAGATACATATCGTCGAAAGACAATCCAGCGGATCTTGTTTCCCGTGGTCTTCAGGCTGACGTTATCAAGGACACAATACTGTGGTGGTTCGGCCCTCTTTTCCGTTACGTAATGAAAATGAGTGGCCTAAAATGCCAAACACAGAGAAATATGATTTACCGGATCTAGCGACTCATTTCATATGTAGTGATAGCAACCATCATGTAGTTGATAAAAATTCCAATTCAACCGTATATTCATCTATCATTCATCGCTTATTAGAAAAATATTCTAGTTTTCCAAAAATTCAAAGATTATTTCCATATGTATATAGATTTATAAAAAGTTTAAAAATAAAGATAAAGTGTGTGGCGATCTTTCCGTAACAGAACTCCACTTCGTATAATTTAATAATACATTATTCACAATTAGAAATGTTTTCTGAATAATAAAATCTTTTAAAATATAAAAAAAAATACCACGCAATAGTAGATTGCTTTCTTTGACTCCATTCATTGACAATCATAACCTCATCCGCGTGGGCGGGAGGCTCGATAACTGCTCCCTACGATTTTAGTGTAAAGCATCCCATAATGATATGCAGTAAGCACATACTTACTACACTTACATTTCAAATCCCAACATTTAGAGCTACTACAGTAATTGAGGACCGGCCTCAATTACTATTGTCACACATAAGGCAGACTTATTATATTATATACTACTACTGGTAGGAAGCTTTCTAGAAGTATCGTTAATAAATGCCTTAAATGTTTCAGACATAAGTCGCAAAGAGTTCAGCCTATAATGAATCTATGCTATAATGGTCAGCTACCTCAGTCAAGAACTCATCTTGAATTTCCATTTTTAAATTGTTATGTTGACTACGCTAGGCCAGTATCGGTGGCCGATCGCAGGGATCACGGTTGCAAACTTATAAAATCTTACATGTGCATTTTTGTGTGCTCTGCAGTGAAAGCCGTACATTTGGAGCTCGTCTCCGACCTCACCTCTGAGGCTTGCATGGCCGCTTTAAATCGTTTCGTGGCGCGTTGAGACAAGCCTCGAAGTCACACTGAACGGAGTCTAAGGGGGGAAGGATCTATATCGGTGAATGGGTAAAGTTAGCGCTTCCTGAGCCTTGGTACACAGCCTGGCACCTAACAAAGCTCCGCACAGTTTAAGCCTTGGTATTGGCATCGGCTTGATGGCCGCTACACGATTTTTAGCAACTAAAAGTTGTACGCTAATAGATTTACTGTTACTGCATGACCGAATGTACACACATGCGCCATAACCCTTTTCGGACGCATCGGTGAAAACGTGTACTTCATGCGTACTAGAGTCTTCACGCAAAACCCAACGAGGAATCTTTAAATTATTTAAAGATGTTATTGTATTTTCGAATGTCGACCAAAGGTTTCTGACCTCGAGCGATACTTCATCGTCCCGGTCATAGTTGTGTAGCCATAAACGACTTAGATCAGTGGCTAAACATCTTTTCTACATCGCCTGAGACCACGTATCTATGTTGACGAAAAAGTATCAAAATGGAAATTAGATCGTCTTGCACTACGGGACCGACCATCTGTATGTCATTAAGAGACACGCACGAACTGGTGGAGGCTAACCCGTTGAATACTACGTGTAGTTAAGTTGTGGTAATAGAGCTACGAATGACTCCATGATGTGGAATGAAATATGTGATCATGGAGTATTCAGGCGTAGAAGTACAGTCTAAAGTTATATGACATAAATGCTCATATTTTCTCATAAATTCACAATATTTAGTTATAAAAGGAAAAATGCATTTAAATCGCCGCTCCAGGGATAAAAAACGATTTTTTGCGTCTTAATATGAATGCCATAAGGTGCTAGGGTCCTTTTTAAAGGCATCGTCACGACAAATCTACCATCATTTTTACGAACGGGGGTTTGGGCAAAAAGTTTTTCACAGACTCTTTCTTGGAGAAGAAAGTAAATGTTTTGACGACACGTTGTTAACCCTTATTAAAATAAAGGTATAATGCTTACCATTTGAGTTTTTTGTTTAAAAAAGTATTTTTCTTGCACCGGCAATATTTGAATTTGATAATAAGTAAAACGTTGTCTTTTTTTAAATCCAACTACTGGCAACATTTTATTCATAAACGTCACCCGTCCATATACGTCAATGTCTGAGCCAGTCGGCTTAGTACTCTTATTAGTTTGTGCAGTCGGCTATATATTACTCTACTCCATTTGCATTCGTGCCTAACTGTAAATTGGATTTACTAATATAAAAATAATATCTATTTTTTTGGCTGTGAATGATGCATATTTTGGAATTTGCTTAGCTTTGCTTGTTTCGCTTATTTCAGTGATCTACATTCAACATGGCGGAAAAGAAGAAAAGACGTTTAACGTATACCAGTGACCTCCAAAACACTCGAAAAAATAGTGGATAATCTAGACGAATTATCGGATTTATCTGACTATGATGACGAAGATGATCCGCTTTATGGAGATAATGTAAGTAGTCCTTCAGACTCCTATTAATTTCTATCACGGGAGAATGTTATCGAAAGGCGCCTGGAAGAGATGTTTAGGATAGATTCGGGGTATGAAATAAATATTAAAGATGGCGGGGGCAAACAGAAGAAGCTCTTTTAAAAGTTTTAGAATGTAATCCATCGACAAGTACACATACAACTAATTGATTCCAAGCGACAACCACCACCCAACGAAAAGGTTATGTCAAAATTCTTCTGGCCAAATCCAAAGCAGTTCGCTCTCAGAAGATCATATAGACGAACTTACTTCAACTCAACGAAGTTGCTCCGCCACAACGTTATCCTCTTTTAAAAAAATCAACAGCCAATAAACAGAGATCCTCTTACCTTGACTCGGCATTGCTCTACAAATCCGTCTTCTGGCATTCAAGAGCCGATTGACGAGTCCCTATTCAACACGACACAACGTCAGTCTACATCGCCATCCTCTTTCACAGAAGAGCAAATCAATCATTCGCTGGAGCTAGTAATCGGCAGAGACCTACACAACTCGACACAACGAAGTCGCTCAGCAAGTTTATCATCATTCGCTGTAGACCAACGTTTATCACAGACTGAAGAAGACCCACTCATTGCCAGCCAATCAGCTCTTATGGATGTAGACAGACCTGCTATAATTGCACAAAATGTAACTGTGCGCTCTTTATCAAACAGTCTCAATCGATTAGCTTCTGAAACTACACGGAGAGCCCGTTCTACACCCCGATAATGGAAAACGGCGCGTGAAACCCATAATATTCCTTCCTTTGATAAAAATGCTCGCAATATACACATAAAACGCAACCAATTGAAGTCTTTGAAACGTTTTTTCCCGAATATATCATTGAAGTTATTGTAGTACAAACCAACAGATACGCCCTTCAAAAAACAGTCGTAACTGGAGCCAAGCAACCAGAGAAGAAATCAAGGCCTATTTAGGAGTTTTAATAATAATGGGACTGAACCCACTTCCAGATATGGAACTACAATGGGAAAGTGACACATTTTATAACAACCCTGAAATATCTCAAGTATTCACTCTGACACGATTTAAGAAAATAATGGAAAACTTGCATCTGAACGATAACGAAATGGAGCGTCCAAGGGGTTCTCCTGGACATGATAAACTTTATAAATTGAGGCCAATGATAACTGATTTGAACGAAGTGTTTATGAATGAAATGTATGACTCGAGCCGACAATGTATGGTTAAATTTAAGGGCAGAAGTAATTTGAAGCAGTACATGCCTAAAAAGCCCATAAAAAGGGGCTTCAAAATATGGGCCAGGTGTGACGCTACAACAGGCTATATGTACCAGTTTCAAATTTATACAGGGAAAGGAGACAGCGCAGAAAACGAAGGACTGGGATATAATGTAGTTATGTCACTTTGCCAGGATTTTCCAAGAAATACACTGGTTGCTTATAATTTCTTCACCAGTTGCAACTTGATGGATTAGATCTCCCGAACATTATGAAAAAAACTCAGCCCAAGAACTTAAGACTAGATAAACATCAATTTGCTTCCATGACGTCTGTGCCAATAACTACTTTGAAATGGCACGATACCAGGGATGTGACTGTTTTGACAACAGCTCATGAGCCACTTGACACGTTATTTGTGAAAAGGGCACAAAAAGATGGCTCGCGAATAGACATTCTCTGCCCAACGGCAATCGCCGCATACACTGTCAATATGGGTGGGGTGGACCACTTTAGGTCATCGTATCCAATAGACAGAAAATCTCGAAAATATTGGACGAGGTTGTTCATCTTCATGTTCGATTCCGCTGTTATAAACGCATACATAACTTACAACATGACTCATGTAGTGACACCACATTCACACCGAAACTTTAGACTGAGAGTAGCTCGTGGTTTAATTGAAAATTTTACTACAAAGATGCAATATAGACCGACAATATTCAAAAGTAAAAGAGGAGGACACTTTGCAGTACCAGAAGAAATCCGTCTCCTCAACGTCGGTGTGCATTTGCCTGAAGAATGTGACACATACAAGAGGTGCAGATTTTGCAGCACCAAAAAATTGCAAAAGAGATCAAAATATGTTCTTCTATGTGTAAAGTGAATCTGTGTGCCAAGTCATGTTTCAGACTTTTTCTCACTGCGGAGGAAACTCAAGCAGAATAATTATCTACTTTTTATAATTATTAAAACTCTCTACTTATTATGAACACGACTACATTTTATTTACCTGCTAAAAATAGATATTACATTCATATATCCACATTCGAAAAAATGTTAATACCTATATTTTTTTTGTATTACCTAAATTACACAAGCAAATCCAGGGAAAACAACTAGTATAGGAATTTGTTCAAATCGTATTGGATAATGGTAACTATTTTACCACCATCGTAATATTTTACAAGTCGATAATGGATAATGGTAAGATATTTACCACCCAAACCCCCCCTTTTTCTATCTAAAATGAAATCAGCGGCCCCTAATTACCTAGAAACAAACCGTTTTTTCCTAAATATCCACATAATATCCACAGGGGCTCGTGTTTGTTTAAGGGTTAAGCTCCCAAAATTGAGTTAGGTCGGGAGTAACATTGGAATGATGGCAAAAGAGTGCAGAAACAGAACTAGATTGATGCGAAATACAACCGGACACAAGCCATCCTAATTTAGTTTCGCACAATTTAGTTAGATGTTTCCCTAAATCTGTAGTTCTGCTGCCTAAGACATTCCAGAACACCTCAGGCCCTACTAGGTTGTCTACGACCGACGGAACATTAAAGTTCGGGTCTGCTAGTATAAGACCTGAAGGAATAGGGACGTAATTTATGTGCACGAATGAAGACGGTAGAACCTTTGTAACTTAGATAAAATATGACACTCGATATCAACAGTAAAGGCACAGAATAAATACTCAATTGTGAGGTGACAAAACTATGTACTAGTGGATATGTGATTATTAATACCAACGTGACAAATCCAGTTTCTCTCATAGTTTGCGTAACAAAGTTGGCCGTACTGCCGTTGCCCAGCAGTAGCCGCGCAGTGTACTTCTTACCCGTCCCGCTGATCACATTCACCATAGCTGTGGATAGAAGAACAGGCGCAGAAGTAGCAAGCTGCAAGAAATTGGCTAATAGTGCGATATTTGACGTAGAAGGCAAAGCAAAGCAGAAGGCAATGGATTAGAAAATGGTTCGGGTTTACTAGATTCTAAACGCGTGTTGGGCACACACAACACGTGTGTTGGGACGCACAACACGCAAGCAATTCAGACATACATTGTAATTATTTGCCTTTTTTATGCGATCCTCTATAGTTAAGTTTCTAAAGGATTCACATTTATATAATGTATGAGCCTGGGAGCAAGGTTGATATTTTTTTTTTATTATTATTCGATTTTTATTAGTTTGAGTTTGATGAAATTATGACACATCTTCTCGTCAGGTATACCTCAATCTCTGAAAACTAAAATGTACAACCAGTGCGTGTTGCCAGTGATGTCTTACGGATCTGAGACGTGGTCCTTCACTGCCGGCCGTATGAGGATGCTCAAGGTCGCTCAGCGAGCTATGGAGGGGGCTATGCTCGGAGTTTCTCTGTGTGATAGACACAGAAATGAGGATATCCGCAGTAAAACTAGAGTAACCGACATAGCCCAACGGATTAGTAAGCTGAAGTGGCAATAAGCCGGCCATATAGCTCGAAGAACCGATAACCGATGGGGAAGAAAGGTTCTCGAGTGGCAGCCTCGTACCGGTAGGCGTAGTGTAGGGCGACCCCCCACTAGATGGAGTGACGACCTGCTAAGACATGCAGAAAGTCGATGGATGCAGGTGGCTCAGGACCGTGCTTTGTGGCATTACTTGGAGGAGGCCTATATTCAGCAGTGGACTTGTGAAGGGCTGTAATTATGATAATGATGATGAGTTTGATTGACTTAAGAATTAGAATCTTTATATGTTAGACTATTAATTAAAATTGTAATAGTATTAGTCTGAGAAGAATTGATATTTAACTCGTCAGACTCTAGCCAACCTGCTTTCATGCTTAAAAAAGAACAGAATGGCAATAAAGTAGGTATCATCTTTTAAAATATTGTTCCTATGCTCTTCCTAGTCACGACTTGTTGTCGAATCTAATTTTTTAGTCATGACGTATATTAATAATGTGTAATATTGAGTAGGCTGATTTAATTTTGTTAGTGCCACCAGATAATTCATTTGTGACTGAAAACGGGAGTCATATACATATGAGTCGCAGTGGAGAGCGGTCAAGAGGTTTTTCAGAAAACAAAATTATAACAATTCACATTACATTATTTAATTTACCACTATCATAGCAGCGTTAAAGGCAACCTAACTTTATATATGATTGGTGAATGGTTCAGTTTGCGACGGCTTAGGCGCGGAGGGCGCCTAAAGCTCTAAGAGCCGTAACTTTGTGTCCATATTCCTCTGTAAAAAAAATTGAGATTATGATTTTACAAAAAAATTATTACTCATAAACTATACATTTCCGCAAAGGGGGGCTTTCCCTGAACCCTCCCCCTCCCACTCTTACCACCTTACGCGAGTACCGTAAGTCTATAGTTTAACCAAAATCTTCACATACACAATCGCGGGGAATGCATACAAACGATAACTAAGTAATGTGAACCGACAATAACTGTGATTAAGCAAAAAGCAATAATAAATATTAAAATCTAAACCTATGAAACATTTTAAGAAAAAATTTTCAACATGAAAGAAGTTGACAAATAAATGTTATTTTTTCTTCTTTTAATTCATGGTGTTGGAGAAGTACATGATCCTACGGATTTAATGCAACAAGTTGTGTAGAGACTTACGACGACGCCATAACCATAAATCTGTTTAAAACGAAGATCCAAGCCATGTTTGAAAATTTCTAAGGTCTCTTGGATTTGGGAAACTACGTTCACGCTCGATTCAAATTATAGATTTAAATTTACTTAATCAGCACTTTTCTTCTGCTTCTCGCACTGATAATGTTGCAAAGTCAACTACAACTCAACTTTCAACATTACCTACTCCTGACTATCCTCTATTTGTGTTTAGCCAATTTGCAGATTGTGATGTAAGGAGAAACATACTCTCTATCCATTCTGACGCTGTCGGAAGTGATTATATCAGTCGTAAAATCATTATTCCCTTACTTGATATATTAACACCTATTATTACCTTCATCCTAAATTTTTCTATATCCACATCCTCCTTCCCTTCCCAATGGAAAGATGCCCAAATCATTCTTTTGCCCAAAAAACTAATCCTTCAAGTTATTCCGAGTATCGTACTATTTCCATTCTTCCTTTTCTGTCCAATATCCTAGAACGTCTTGTCCAACAACAATTAAATTCATTTTGCACAAGAAGTGACATCTTTAATTCACATCAATCTGTGTTTAGGCCGGGACACAGTACTACAGCATTATTAAAAATCACTGACGACATACGTTTCGGAATGGATAACCGCCAAGTCACAGTGATGGTGTTGCTGGATTTCAGCAATGCCTTCAATGATGTAAATCATAATATAGTATTTGATGTCCTGCGTTCTCTTAACATATCTCCACCTGCAATTGCCTGGTTTCGTAGTTACTTATATGGACGCCGCCAACGTGTTCGGGCGCAAGACAGAATATCTTCATGGCTTGATACCATTGCTGGCGTTCCACAAGGTGGCGTGTTACCTCTTCTCTTATTTGCATTCTTCATAAATTCCATTACCTCCAGAATATCTTCTCTCTACCACTTGTATGCTGATGGTCTCCAGATATATCTACAAACCACCGTAGAGGATCAGCCAAAAGCAATTTGAGATATAAACAAGGACCTAGCGTCTATTCTTAACTGGAACCGATCTTAAGGGTTAACTGTTAATCCGATAAAATCCCATATATATATATATATATATATATATATATATATATATATATATATATATATATATATATATATAATATATAATATATATATAAGCTATATTTATTGGTAGTTCAAGAATAATCTCCAAAACTTAAATAAAACTCAGTTATATCCAATAACATTTAATGGTATTCAAATCTCATAAAGACGTAGTGAAAAACTTGGAAATCTTGATAGATTCTAGCCTTTCTAAATCTAAATCAACGCAATGTTTCGTAAAATGTTTGCAGCTTATGGTTCGCTCCGAGGAATAAACTATCTTCTTACCTATCTCCACCAAAATTATGCTTACCCAATTTTTACGGCTCCCCATCCTCGATTATGCTGACATAAGTTATCTAGACATTACCGAAGAGCAACTTAATAAACTTGAGCAACTCCAAAATCTATGTATAGGTTCATATATGGACTTCGTAAATATGACCATGTCTCAGAATACCGCGCTAAGCTCAAGTGGCTTCCACTCAGTCTTCGTCGGAATACTCATATCCTTTCTGCTCTCTACTGCGTTATATTTAATATATCAATTCCT